TAGTAAATATACAGACTAGTATAATGCATTTAAAGCTTTTCTGAGGATAGACTGCAGCACCAGGGAAAACAGCAACATGCACCAACTGCACAGCAGAACACATTCCCCAGCATCAGCTATGGGACTACAGGACTTTTTTGACTTATGATAAGCAGTTTATGCCACCTGAAACTTGCCAAGTGCAAAAACTATGCAGATAAAATCCAGACATTTTTTAAGAGGATTCTTAGTTATAAATAAAACCAGAAACTGAGTTTAAAATAGAGTTAAAATATTAGTAGGTTGCAGCTCACATACACATTGCCCTTTCTCCCCAGGACACTTAAAATCAGTCAACTTTCTCACATCATTATTGACGTTTCTAACCCAAAATATATTTGTAAAACACTATTAAATGTAGAACCTATCTGTAAATAGAGCAGCTACACACACCCTGCCCAGCAGACTACAGTCACTGCCCTGGGGCTGGTCAGTGCTGGGGATGACTTGAGAAGCTCAGCAACTCAACAACTTAATTAATTAGTGTGTTGGCAGGCTCCAGGATTCTAATGAATTTTTAACCTTCTACTAATCAGTTTCAAGGGACTATTTGTATTTTCCCTCATCACATCCCTAATGGCACTTTTCACTCAAATTGCCTTTATTTTACTTAATAAGGCTGTTTTTCCTCCCCAGAAAACACTTAGTAAGGAGTTATTTGCAGGAATCATATTGATTATTGATGTAAGCACAATTCTGCAAACTGACCTTTGACACATCATTCAATGCATTTCTTGTCACCTACTGGTACAGACCTCTCCAGAAATTATTTTATTTCCAAGTTTGGGGCCAGTGATGGTCTTCCTGCCTGATCTTTGGGCTTGACCTTTTTGTGTGTGTCTTACTTTCTGCAGCTTTTAAGAGAAATGTTGCTCAATATAAAGGTATGTTTCTTAATTTCAAAGCAGGGGTCTTTGGCCCCCTCTCAGGTTGGCCAAGCTTTGAAGGCAGCATCATGAATTGAGTTGGTGTCAGTATGACAACACCCCAAGTACAGCACTGGTAGCCAACTACCTCAGAGGCTTTTTGAGTCTCTTACTCTAATAGCCTTTGTAGAGCAAAATGTGTTTTGTAATGTCACATGATTTATGCATTCTCATTGTTTGATTTCTGCTCCATTTTGGTTAAAAAAAAAAGCAAATACAGGTAAGAACATGCTTCCTATAATTAACACCAGTAACAGTCTTCAATTTCTTCCACCGATAACATTTTTCATTCAGTTTATCAACTTTTTTTTGAAAATCAGACACCTGTGATTCTGTTCAGTCTTTACACAAACCCAGATACGTAAATACAGCTGAAAATCTCACTCCATTAATTTTCTTCCTTTGTAAGAAAAGACTGAAAGGCTATTTTTCCCCAATAAGAGAGTTGCAGTAATTGCAGAGGCAGGATTTTGGTACACAAGAGGGGAAGAAAAACATCACTCACAGCTGTAACTGAATAAACCAAGATTAGGGTGGATGGAAGCAAGAAAGGAAAGAGGATCACTGGACATCCAAAAGAGACAATTTTCTATCTAATAATATTTTTTTATTTCAATTCTCAATACAGAATTTTAAACACAAAACTCACCCTCTTTGAGAACACCCGCTGTCACCTCACCATTAAATTCATCAATACTGCCCTGCAGTTTGGAACTCACCTTTGCCATTTCACACCACAAAGATCTGATGTCAAAGAGTAATCAAACTTGAAACAAGTGAATTTAAAACATCTACTAAGTATCCTCACAAACGTTTTTTTTCCTCTTAACACCATTTTTTTTTTTTTTTATTAAGAAGGCATGAGGCAGAATAGGGAAATAAGGAAAAAAGTTCTTAAAATCAGCATTCTGGTAGCTCACAATTTTACATTAAACACTTAATACCCTATTTCTAATGCTTATTAGGCTTTAAATTTGTCACCAAAAATAAGTATTATTTGCCTAAGATCCAAGAATAACTTGACATAATAATCTGAATAGCTGGATCAGCTTTTTCCTCAGTGCTTTTATGCATGACTCCAAGGTGAAGAGGTGTTTCATGTCACAGATCAATGTTTAGCCCACAGTTCAATCCCAAGCCTGCAGTGCTAGTGTCATTTCCTGGGCTTGCCACTGGCTGCCAGCCTCACAGCACCTCCCTGCTGTGACTGAGAACAAACCACATGAAAGAAATGACAGGAATAAAAAAAAACCCAATCAAAGATATCACCCTTCTGAGTGTGTATTTAGGTGAATTCCTGTCTCCAGGTTACCACATGGACTCAACGTGTCTCAGAGGCTGTGAGGAGACTGGGAAAGGGGAGAGCAGCAGCAGCTGTGGGAGCTGCAATACGAGCCCAGGCCCTGCTCCACCCCAGAGCCACCGTTCCCCTGAAGAGCCTGGCAGCCCTGCAGAGCCTGCAATGGGGTCTGACAGGAACACTGTGCACACTCACTAGAGAATTTCTAGACTTCCATCAGAGATCCTCTTCTGGCTATGGCTTTTAGAAGCTATCCTAAAAAAGAAGAAAAAGTACCTTATTCCTGCATTTCCTATATTTATTTATAATTCATCAATCTTGAAATTAAGTTATGCAAATCTTAATCCTATGACCAGACTTTTAAAAAGTGCTGATTTAGGACTATTTTAGATACAGGGAGACAACAGCTGTATGAATTACAGGAACAGTTATTTTTTCTACGTGTTCACAAAGCACACCTACAAGTCTTAATTTACAGCAAAGTTCCCAACCAAAACACAACCTGGTGAGGTATTTTTGCCCAAATCTTACCCCAGGTCATATCTGCAAGCCCACACAACACACTGAATCAGGATGCTACAGACAATATTAATTTTCACCTATGAGAATTATCTGCTGTATCCTGTACTTTCATCTGCACTTCTGGAAAAGAAAAGGAAAGGCAAGTCACTGGGACATATTTAATATGTTGCACTCTATTACCCCCAAGTACTTTTATCTAATTTTGGATTTAAAGCAGCACAAGAATTATCAGAGCTGCTCTGTAGAGACTCACTTTAAGTCACCACAGATCAGCAGCTGAATCACAAGCTAAACACTATTGTACCATACTCAAAGCCAGGTCGAGTTTATCCTATGAGAGAATTTTTAAATTCAAAAAAATCCTACTACAACAGGATTTTATTTTTTGCCAATGAAGACAGCACTTCTTGTCTTAGTGTTACTGTGTTCATTTGAAAAATAGGTCATGTCAAAAACCACTTCGAAATGATTATTTAAACAAAGATTACAAACACTGATGAAATTCTTCTGCGGAAATGTCTTCTGATGTCTGCACCAAGGCTGACCAACGAAGATGGAGCAAACAGGAGAGGAAACAAATTCGTGCAGAGAACCAGGAAGAACAAGGATGAGATTTAACAGATATTCCAAGGATGGGGAGATGAAGAATAGGAATACACACTAACTTCAGAAAAGAATAGCCTATCTTAAAAAAAATTACTTCTTTAGTTAGATTTAAAATACCTAACCCAAACATTTTTTAGGAAAGCATATGCAGTTTGTCACTTAACCTGACAGAAGCCAAAGAACCAGTGTAACTAAGTTAAACAGCAACATATGTCCATACAAGAGCCCCTGATTTTTCACTGTTTCTGCTTACTGCATACACACTTACCACAGTATTTTTGCTACTATAGACAGGGGATGTTTACATTGCATTACATACAATACAATTACATACAATAGTAATCACATAAAAAGATTACTTAACACAGTGCCTGTGGGTCATCTCACTTCTGACCATATCCTCTCTTGAAGCCAGAGAAAGAAAAGGTTTTGTGCTACATCTTAAAACATCTCCATGTGCACACACTGTTACCTAGCACAGACAAAGCTATTCAAATCAGAAATTGTCTGCAGCTGTATTAAGTTGCCCTCATTCATGTATTTTAAGGGTTCTCATACTTTCAGGTCACATATCTTAAACGCCATGGATCAGGACTTTTGACTACTACAGTAAGAGTAAAAAGAAAAGTGGAAAACAGCAGTGCAAGATGAAACTATTCTGGATCCTATGTTTTATGAAACAACACTTCAAAATTCTATAAAACACCCAGGTTCTCAGAAGGCCAAGGCTCTGAGTAACCTGATCCAAACCTGAAGTCAGCCCTGCTTGGAGCAGGGTGGAGGAGATGACCTTCAGAAGTCCCTTTCAATCCATGTTAGTTTAAGATTTCATAAAATAAACTGGAATGTGGGGTTGTGTGTGTACACATACACTTGCCCTCTTTATTTCTAGATACCCTGGGCAGTCTCTGGATACAGCTCCACTGAACACTGCACACAGAGCATGATTACATACAGCACTGAGTAGAGCAGATTGATTTTGCCATCTTAGACATCAGCTTGACATTTATGCACAGGAACTGCAGAAAGAAGTATTGCTCTAAGTGGAGTGGTGAAGATGTAACTTCTCTCACTTATCAGGCCCATTTGATCTTAGAAATGTTCAATTTATCTGTTGAATCCTCAGCATTGTGAAACCACAATCCTCACTGCCAGGGCTCTGAGTGCTGTAGTGGTGAGGAATCTCTCTGGAATTATAAATGAAATTAATCCTTTTGCTCAGACAGGGGAAAAGAAAGGAAGCAGGCTTGTCCTGGCACAGGACACTCAAACCACAAACAGTGCTCAGGTTCTCCATTCCTCTTTGACCCACATTTCATTTACACATCTCAAACTGAAACCCCAGTTCTCCTACCTCTGGAATTCCTCCTTTGATGCATTCTCCTTCCTGCTATCCACTGATCAGTATTTCCAGCAGTGACTCATGAGAACACGCTTAACACGACACACAAGCTGAAACTTGTTTAGGGGGTCTTGATTTAGAAGCCCAAGACTCCTCACTAGCAAAGACAGGTCATGAAAGCCTCTTGCAAAAGTAGTAACAAGCATCATCACACCAATGATAGTATTTCATACTATTAAATCAGGAAAATGATCATGGCTTATGTAAGTTGTATTTCAAATTTATTTCAATTTTAGCACAAGATAAAACCTGTGATGATCTACAAAGCCTGAAGAATTCAGAACAAAACCAGTTTCCTGCATCCCTAATACATTCTTAAATAATGTGCCTCAGTGCAGCATTCCTCTTGACTGTCTGATCAAGCTTTACAGACTTGTAAGCATTCAGAGTAGGGAAAGAGAATTAAACAGCAATTTGAAATGGCAAGAAAACAGGGCATTGAAACATTGTTTCTTTAAGTAACCTGTTTCAGTATCTCACCTCAGTTTCTACTCCTCTCCAGTGGGTCTGTGATGATCTGCAAAACTCCAAGAAATCTGCAAGAGCTATTTTAAACAATTTTTCCTCCTATCTTGTAGGTGGTTTTTACTACAAAATTAAATCACAATATAGGTCAGACTACCTTTCCCCAGCAAGACACACAAAATTTTCAGGTGATACTACATTATGTGAGCTAAAAGCACAATTGTAGTTATTGTGATTTTAGAAAATAGCTTCTTGTGAAGGCAAAGTAATGGAAAATTAAGTTAGTACTGTAAAATTCAGTGCATTGTAACTTCAATGCTTTAGCTAATGGTTTGAAATTTAAGTTCAACACAGAACAGCCCTTACTTGGATGAAGTTTCCTGGTTTATGTATGTAAATACTCACATTTTAAAAGATTAGACAGATCCACAGTTCTAAGGAAACCAACTGGCACAGTAAGTCCACTTTATAAACACAAAACAAAACCAAAAGTCAGCGGTTTTTATAGCTACTATTTGTCTTCCACTGTAAATCTCTACAAAAATTTTCTCATTTAACATTACAGGTTATGCCCTAAGTATTCAGTACTGCCAACAGCACAACTTACAGTTCTGCTTAAAGGAATTCTCTTAAACCTACATATTTAATGTACCACGGGAATAAGAGGGTAAGTAATTCTTATATGTTTAGTTTTGACATCTGAACATAGTCAAATTCCACAATTCCCACAGACCCACAGGAGCAGAAAGCCTCACTTGGCAATTTTGATTAAAGCAGAGCCACTGCTCATCATATCCATCAGAAGAAACAAATTTGTTTCAGAATCATTTCTCTTCGCCATTATAACTTTACTGGAAAATAATAATGATAATATTCTGCTCTACAGAAGTCAGATACTCAAAAGCATATGCTCATGTAGCAACCCAAATATATCATCTGTCACACTGTAACATTACAAAAGGAAATGTTTAGAAGTCTACTTTCTCTCGATTTTTCTTCAGCATGAAGCAGCAGTGTAATGGGAGGTTTGGGATGAATGGTACTATATTCCAGTACTATGAACAAGAATAATCATTCTCCCAGTAATTTACATAATGAGTGCAACTCAACATATCAGGTACAGCAGTATTATTCTACTGGCATAACAGTAAGTCATTAAATAATAAAAATATTTGCAGTGTGGATTTAAAAAGGCATAAGAACGAGGTTAAACTGGCTGAGAATGTGGCACAGTTGTGGATTCTTCTGATCTTGAAGATTTTGGAGGGAAATGTAATGGAAGGCTGAGTCCTCTTTCCTTCTCACTGTAATGACACCAACAATCAAATCTGAGAGCACTGGAAGACACTTCACTGACAATAAGTGTCACCAGTCACCCTTCTTCCGTGAGCCAAACTGAGTTATTTACATGACTCAATGTTTGGTAGTCAAAGAAAAATCTGAAAGGTGCAGAGCAAAGAGAGAACACAAATACAGAGGAATTGGCATTTTCATTTTGACAAAGTCTCAAAAAACTGCCTCCTCAACTTTTTTTTAAAGATCTGCGCAACATTTAGAGAAAAATCTATTGTTCATAAAGTAACATTGAATTCAGATACTTCATCAATATAATATTTAAGGGCAACAGCAATTTCTTACAGCCAGTGAAACAGCTCATTTAAAGAGCTGAATGCAGAGTATAAAGATCTAATTAGGGGAATTTCTCCCCACAGAGAGGCTGTTCTAGTGTAAGTTGGTGGGAAAGCCCAGCTGGCTTGAACACTCTAAGATCAAGACCTGAAAGCTTATTCAAGTGTGCGGTTAAAGAAAAAAAAGTGTTAAAAGCAAAGAACTGGAAGTTTCTGTGCTTCTGACAACCATACACTGAATACCCTGAGTACTGCACCAACCTCAGCTTCTCGGTTCAAAACCTTCCCAGGATTACTCACACTCGGTAACTACAAAACAGGTTCAGAACCGCCAACACCGTTCTGTAGAACTTCAGTTACTGAAAGTACTCCACTTACTTCATCTCTGGTACAGAAGAAAATAATTTACATGTGTCACGTATCAGCTCATGTATCAGCTTTTGTACTATCAAAAGCCAAAGCAAGATATCAAATGCTTCAATCACAGAAGATTTTAGATAAGCTGATTAGCTGACCTCAGTTACTCATTTTTTCAAAGGCACCAACACAATGCAATCTAAAGTCCAGCATTTTTCCCCCATTATTTTTTAGGGCATCAGCCAACTGCACAAATGCCTTCCAATATATGGGATATGTTAAATTTGTTCCCTAAAGAAAAGCATTCCAAGAAACACATTCAGATGGAAGCACACTTGATGGTGCAACTGACACTAGAATATTGTTTCTTTTTTAACCCTTTTGAGTTTTAAATAAAACATAAAGATTTCAGTCATTAAGAAAACCTACAAAAAGTTGCTAAATTCTGACTAAGTTTAGCAATACCACGAGCACTTTGGCTTGTCCTTTTTTGCTGCCCATCAGAGAACTCTGTACAGACTCTCCCAGGGAAATAATCCACTCTACACACTTCATTAACATTAAAATGACACAGTAAAACTTTAGGTAACTAAGTTTAATGTGCTATTCAACACAACACAGAATTTCACACAACTTACAGTAATTCTTTACAGTTCACAATAACCTCATAGCAAAATCAAAATGGAGTAAGAACTGCCCCTGTATTCTTATGCAAGAGCTTGATTTTCTTCTTGCTGCTCATCCTGAAAAGCAACACAGTAATAAGTTACAATATGACATTCAAATACCTAAACATGAAATAAGCTGGTATTGTTTCACTATGTCTAAGGAAGTGCATTCCTTTAATACAAGCTTCTAACTTGGAAATAAGAAGAAATATCACAATAAATGCATTTGTGCTTTTCTACATGCAATACACATGAAGAGACCAGCATCTTGTGTTTTATGATATATAAACAGAGGTTTCACTATAGTGAAATACAGACCAACATTCAGCATTACAAAAAATTATTTGTCTGAAACTAACCACTCAATTGTCTGTAAGGAAAAGCTGTGTCACAGTCTCTTTGAAGTCACACTAGTGAAACAACCACAGGCTGTGGTTTGTCAGGGGTGGGGGGTAGTTGTTTTTGTTTTTTTTTTCTTTTTCTTTAATTAAAAACAAACTACGAACACTAAAGATGAAAAACAGTACACACAGAATCTTTTAGGCCAATTAAAAATTGCAACTAGTCAAAACAAGGCACTGAAAACTGATTTGTTTGGAGAGCACAGGAAGCTGTCCTACCAAGCAGGTTATATTTATCAAGCTTATTTTTTTCCTTTTTATTTTTAATTTAACTTTTACTTTCCTGCTTGCTAGGAAACTCCTCAGCTGTTCACCTCTGTCATGGTAAGTCTTCAGCATGAACAGCTTGCAGGACTTTCTCTGGAGATTATTTACTTTCCAAGGGCATTGCACTTTACAACTGCCTTGTCTGGACAGGAATCACATGGCTTTTCAGAGAACGTATTACTCAAGATGAAGAGAAGTTCTGCAATACAGAGTCTTGCAAATTCCTACAGCTATGAGGAAAGCTGTGCAGCAAAAATCATTACAAAAGGTGCTTCCAGTGCCATTTTAGGAGGGACAGGGACAGGCTGAAGCTGGGGCTTCCCAACTCAGTATTTGTTACTGATTAACACCAACTCATCCTACTGCACGTTTCATGTTCCTCACTGAACTGCTGCAACAGTCCTGAGTATCTATTTTGTGTTTGTATTCTGTTTCATTTTGACTGAACTGAGGGGGGAAGAAGATACAGTCCATAATCAAATCCCAAGAAAGTTAGTTCATAGAATCACAGAAAGGTTTGGGTTGGAAGGCACCTTAAAGATGATCTTGTTCCAACCCCCTGGAATAGTTCTATCATGACAATCATTCAACTACTACAACAGTGAAAGAATCTCAAATTCCTCAAAACTTTCTCAAAAAACCCTGTTCAACTATTTTGATTCATCATTTTTCAATGTTAGAGCAAATAATATGTATTTTAAAAATATTATTATTTGCTTTGACAGCTTTGTAATTGTTACACGTAAACTGGAAAAAGAACTTTAAATTAGCTTGGTTAAATTCCAAATGTTAAAGTTAGATGCTAATAACAGAAGTATTGGAGGAGGACTGATTGTCTTCAGAAACCTTATTGCATGTGGGTTGGTAACCCTTCCATTTGGCTTTGCCCTGCTAATGTCCCTTAAAATCAGAATTTCTGTGCATTCTTTCCTTCCTGTTATATCAACCTGCCATCTCCTCACAACAGTGACAACTCAAAAAGCCATTCCATTCCACCTGGCAAGAATTTTGAAGTCACTTGACTCTCTCACTGTTTGTCTATCAACTTAATTCTCTACAGCTGCTGAAAGCCAATGTCATCAGGCTCCAAAACCAAGCCAGAAACCAAACATTAAGCCACCAATGAAGCTGAATATAAGCGTTCTTCCTCCACTGCCTTTGATGTGTGCAGATCCTTAACAGCCAGTGTTTAGCCAACCTAAAACTAGACTCCAGAGTAAAAAAGCCAAGAATACAACAGCTACTTTATGATTATTAATTCTGAATGTGCTAATAAAGCACCTATAATAAGACCCTGTTCTTTTCCTGACCCTTACAAGCACAGAATGAAAAGACATACTTGGTACGGCCCAAAACAACAACAGGAAAACGTGACAGCCAAGTGCCTGCAAAGCAGGAAATACCCACCTGCATCACCTCCCTTCAAAAGGGAGTGCAGTACCACACCTTTGAAAACAAGAAAGAAGCACTGTTCCTTTCAGAAGAAAACTCTCTATTTCATATTTGCCCAGATTTCTAAAAACACTGAGTTAGCAATGGAGTTTAGTCTTACTTTTAAGATGCAAATTCAGCTACCAACAGGACTTTGAGCAACTGACCTGACCCCTGTATGGACATCCCACAGCCAGTAAGAACCTCAGTGACATGAGCACTCTACCTCACTGCTCTCCTGTGAAGGAAAGACAAGCCCACTGATGTGGTGTTTAGACACTAAAACACAAACCACTTTCCTCATAGTGACGTTATACAACTACTCCAGGTAGGTAAATATTCCCTGGAATAACACAGCATGCCCTAGGATGCCTGTCTCATTAAATCCCTCTTATTTTTGACTCTCCTTATCCTCAGGCAGCTGTTGCTCCTTAGCCTTGTACAATTATGTGTATGTATGTGTATGTATGTGTATGTACCTGATCATTTGTCCAGCATTTTACATACTTGGTGGGATTTAGAACTGACATACTGATATCCTGAGACTGTCCCAAAGCCTCACTGCCTTACCTTTTAAGGCAACAAAGTAGTTTTCATACCAAACAATATTCCACAATATTTCTCACATCTCAGAAGGCTGAAGGAAGCAATCAAACACAAACCCTCTGTCTCACCTGTATCAAATTAGTCCCAGGAATTCAGTTACTGATGCACTCCAAACTAAAATTATAGTGCCAGAAAAAAATACTATTTTGAAGAATGTACTTCAATTTTCCAGCTTCATCAGCACTGGCATTTATTTGCTCCTGACCCAGCTTCCAAGGATTCTTCTCTGCCATAGAATTGCTTTCCGAACCCCAACTCGTTCACCTACTGAAATCGAAAGTTAGAAGAATTAGGAAAGTCACAAGAAAAACCACAGTGAATGAGGAGATTCAGACAAACATGGTACTTGACACACTTCACCATATTGGCGAGGGGTTTGGACACATCATGCAATGCCAGTGCACTGTCCTATGGTCTCTCTGTCTCCCTGTACACATTAAAAGATACAATTTTTTAAAGGTCAGAAAATTAAGACATGGATGAACTATTCAGTAAGACTGTTGTGGATAAACCAAACCTAAAGAAAAAGTAATAGACAAGCACACCTATTGAGGCTCCTCTGATCTCAACTGGGAATGCCCCAGTTACTGAAGACACTGCAGTAACAGACACCAGCAGCCATGGTGGGGTGGCCTCGCTGAGCACAGCACTATTTTTACATAGTTTAACACATCACTTGGTGTGCAACATCATGAAAATGATAAAACATCTTTCTTTTGAGAAAGGCTAAAGCACATGCAGTTGCACTTGCCTGGACACTGCAGTACTGCTGAAGGGGACACGTGTAAAGCACTGGCTATTTCCCTGTTCACTCATGAACCCTGCACACAACTAAGGAAGGCAGTCACTGGGTTCACTGCTTGTACTCTTAGGTATTTTACAACTTTTCCAATATCTTTTTCAGATTCTTGCCTCAGAAGGACATTGTAGTACATTGATTGAAGTACATTGATTATGTACCAAGATGCTTTTAGATAATGAAGCAGAGCATGAATGAGTTTCTAATAAACGAAATTAATGTGATAATAAAATCAATTCAAAATACTTTCAAATGAGAAACATGCAAAAAGCCACAGCATCACTGACGTGCCATCTGTCCTTGTAAAGGTGCAGTCCTTCAGCATCTCCTGCTCCTCTTTCACAGTTACAATTCTCACATCTCTGAATCCAGAACAAGCAGATTCTTTAGGCAGCTGCTCATCATTGTCATAAAAACAACCCAGGCTGTTTACTGAAACACTTCTGCAAAAAAGTTGTGCCTCTGTTTCATCTGCAGTAGTGTCCTATGTTCAGCTATACAAACAAGAAAACAAAGACAGAAAATCTTCTATGAAATATTTTAACTCTTCAATTTAACTAAAATAAGCTATATAATTTCCTTTTTATATATAACTTTTATCTCATTTTTCAATGTCAGCTACAGTCTTGCAAGTGGTACCAATAAAAATATTTAATCCACCCTTGCCAAGTAAGAACAGGACAGCACTAACATTCCATCTGCTGCTATTAGAGCACTGTCAGCCAGCACTCCTTTTTCTTTCTTCCCAGTGATCCTTCTCACACCCTCAGAGAGAGAATAGAGCAGAACTTTTGACAATGGGTCGTAGCTGTCATACCTAGAAAGACACAATTGGTATCAACACTCAGAATTATTTACTTGGTATTAGCAAAATGAGGAGTATCACGACAAGCTACTCACATGTCCAGTAAAAATCCTGTAATTCTTGTGTCGTTTCTCAAATCCAACTTTTCCTTGTCAGCCACCAGCCAATGTGGTTTCCAGCATAAATCCTTTTTTTATCCCTTCTCCTATCAAGACTTTGCCTTCTCTTTTTCTTTTCCAGAAAGACAACGCTGGGGGCCTTCCACACCTTTTTGCTGGCAGGGACATGGTGAACCTGGAATTAAAGGAGAGGTTTTATTGAGAGGCAGCTCGGAACAGGTGGTACCTCAGTGCCCTGTGCCAGCACAGCGAGGACTGATGGCCGAACACCTTTGGCTCCTCCGCTGCAGCCCCACCTGCCCGGTTCTTCCCCCTCAGCATCTCCCCGCGGCAGCAGCGGCTGAAAATGGGGCCGCTTCGAGTTGGAACACCGCACCTGAGGGTAGAGGAGGGGCCATTCCCGCCTCATACCGCACCTGAGGGGAGAGGAGGGGCCATTTCCATCTAATACTGCTCCGAAGGGGAAGGGACATTACTGCCTCACGCCGCACCTGAGGGGAAAGAACGGGCCATTCCCACCTCATGCTGCTCCTGAGGGGAGGGGACATTCCCGCCTCACGCCGCTCCTGGGACAGACACACACATTCCCGCCCCATGCCGCTCCTGAGGGGACACCAGCCCCTCTCGCCGCACTTGGGGGAGGGCCATTCCCATCTCACGCCGCAGCTGAAAGGAGAGGAGCTGCCATTCCCGCCTCACATCTCTGCTGGGACAGACGCACACATTCCCACCTCATGACACTCCTGAGGGGACACCAGCCCCTCTCGCCGCTCCTGAGGGGGGGCCATTCCTGAGGGGAGGGGCCTCGCACCGCTGCTGGGATAGACACACACACACACATACACACTCACACAGAGGCATACATTACCTACCACCTCATGCCGCTCCTGAGGGAGGACAAGCCCTCACAGCGCCCTGCGGGGTCCGCCCTTTTCCCGAACGCCGCTGTCCCGGCTGGGGTCGGTCTGTCTGTCGGGGTCGGTCTGTCTGTCCGTCCCTCACCCGCGGCGCCGCCACCGCAGCGGACGGAGGTAAACAAGGGACACGTGACCGGCGGCGCGCGCCGATGGCGCGAGGATGACGTCAGGGCGGGGAGGGGCGGGGCTCGGCTTTAAGGAAAAAACGCTAAAAAATGGATTTAAGGAAAAACGCTAAAAAATGGCTTTTAAGTGTTAAACCCGGGGCAGTGGCTCCAAAATTGTCCTGAGAGAGCAGCCAGTGGCGCTCAGGTAAAAACTGCTCTCAGCCCTTCACTGAAGCCCAGAGGAAGAAGTGACCCGGCATGTTTTTTGTTTTGTTTATTTTTTTCTTAATATTTAATTAATAACAAACGTCAATTAAGTGCGTTATGCACGATTTAAAAAAAAAAAAAAAGTCTACTGTTTTCCCAAGCAGCAATTCCCAGGAAGAATACCCAAAATATTGTGTGGTTATCTTACCTTCTGAAAGGCCAGGTTCAGAGACAAAACTAGAATTTTGCTCTGAGGAGCAAAAATTGTTTGAAATGCCACCTACCTGTTAAAATGCTAAATCAGTGACACCAAGAGATAGAAAATGCAGTGAGAATTTGCAATCCCTGTTGTCACAGTGTCTGCTAAGAGTGACATGTACAAAACCTGCATTACACCTTGGCACCTCCACACGCTCCTGCTGACAGCCTGCTTTTTAAAATAAATAACTAAAATCTCAGACCAAGTTAGCCAGAAATATTGGGATAATTTTATCTAAGCAAGATAAGCAGTTTATTTTTTATCATTTCTGCTGTCAGCTTCGGTAGAGTCACAGTAACAACTCAAGATGGCTCAAGAACTAGTAGGTGACTGAAGGCTTATAAAATATTGATTTGCATTTTCTGAATCAGCTGAATAACCAAAACAATTTTTTTGGTTTGTCTAATATTTACATAACTTCAAAATAAAGAACTGGAGAAAAGAGCATCAGTTCCTGAAATCCGTCTTTGTCTTTTATTGTTTACGTCTTCAGCCTGTGAGAAGATTTTCATAATACATTTTACTATGTGAGTTAGCATAGAAGTAAAATTTAGAATAATTATTGTAGCTTAATTATACTTTTGCTCAAATAGCCCAATTTCTCAGTGATGCATATATATGAAGATAATCCCTTGTACTTTACCCACATAATTTGGATATAATTTCTCATAATTCACCATTATTTCTGTAAAATATCTACTTGGTGATACTGTTTCCAAGTAAATAGGACTGTTTTAGAGGCTTTTCATATTTAGTTCTTTTGATTGCTTTCACAAATATAATTATTGTTTGTATAACTAGATCCACATAGAACAGAATTGTGTTAATACCAAAACCTGTTGTGTGCTTAAGGTTCCTGTTTATTTTGAAATCACAAAGCTAGTGAGAGAAGCAAGAGGGTACAAACAACATTTAGTTCTACCAATTAATTTGGAAACAAAAGCAGTTATGCAACACTTTTATGCCCACTAAGGTAAGCAAGCTACTGCTGTTATGCATGCTAATAAAGTTAAAAATAGCATGTAAAAACAGAGGACTGTATCAGCGTCCTCAAAAATTAATTACTACACAAGAAAAAATTTCAAAGCAATTAAGTTAATGTATATTTGCCATTTTTGTGAGGGTTTTGGTTTTTTTTTCATCTCATTAGGATCTGCCAGCCAGTGTTAATTTCGGCTGCTTGAGCCGATCCTGCCTGTGTGACAAATGAATGAAAGGAATGCTTTCAGTGCCACCAATATTTGTATTCATGTTGGTTTTACCACCTGGACAACTCTGTCAGCAAGGTGAGTATTTTTCCCCTGAGTGGTTTCACACAGGTCCCGAAATGAGCAGCATTCCTGGTACATGGAATTGTGTCTTACAAAGCAGCAGCTGCTACTCAGGAATGAAATTCCAAAGGCAATTCCCCAGGCCCCAAAGGTTAGGGTTTGTTCACAGCAATGCACAGACATGCAACTGAGGGCACCAGGTGCAGAAGCTGCCTCCTCCCAATCCCAAACTGCAGCCACTCAGGAAGGAATTCCAGAAGTTTATATATATATATTTACATCAATATTTATAGAGGTTTGTATGGCAGTCTCATAGCTACATCAACTCACTCTCTCCCCTTCCATCAGCTGAAAATCCTGGCTGTACTATCACCTTTCTGCTGGTGAATATCTCACTGTGCTCTGTAATTTCCAGAGCAAACATCTTGTTTAGCTCTCAGCTGTAAGCGTGGCAATAATGCACCTTACAAACCCCAGAAGCCCATCTAAAGTGTAATTTTCATTTCAAAATGCCCTGTGTTGCTACAAGGGCCATCATTTAACCCAGGAACATGTCTAAGTACCCCACTGATCTTGTGTTTTATGAGTATTTGTGAGATGGGTTTGAAAAACTGCTCCCTGGAAATGCCAATGCGAACTTCTTCATACAGGAATTAATGTATCTGTTGTGTAAAGGGATAAAGAGACCAAGTTGATCTAGCCAAGTATCCTGTTTCCAGGAGGCATGGGAAGCTCAGCCCTTGCACTGGATTTTCTCCCAGATTCCAATTATCCATGATTTAAGGACTGGGAAGATGAAGGTGACTCCAAACCATTTCATTAAGCAGGTGTGTGAAGACCTATAGCTCAGGAACAAAATCCCTTTTAGACCCCTCTTAATATTTTGGACTTCATGATGTCCTACTTTAGGGAGTCTTTACTTAGCTTTTTGCATTTGTTACATAATTGTTATTTCTAGATAGAAAGGGAGGTATGACACTGGCACAAAGCCATTTATTTCCATGTTCCAGTGCAATACTGACACCTCATTAAAGGACACAGCACAGCAGTAACATAAATCAGCCCCTCAAAGACCATCTCTCATCCTGTAACCAGGCTGTTTCTAACCCAAAACAGAATCAAAGCAGCTATTTAAAAATTAGAAATAAGAATAAAGCTGAAAACTGAAAACCACAAGGTTTATCACCACATGATTCATTCCAGCAGGAGACTTTGCTTGTCCTTAGGGCTTTCAGATCACCTCAAATTGTTAAGAACAGAATATAAAAGATAAATTGACATTCAGTTAAGGGGGAGCACAGTCATTTCCAAACTGAGCTCCTGGTCATTTGGGCCTTCAAGATACAACACAGGAACTACTTTATTCTAAGAGATTTTAAAGAAAGTGAAGACAAGACCTGCACTCTAACTGCACCTTGAGCTGTGTAATCCAAATAAAAATCCAAGTAAAATCCAAAGTAGAATTCCTCACATTTGTTCACTGCTGAGGTTGGATGATGCATCACATTTAAATTCTTTCACATGAGCTTCCTAACTTCCTTCTTTTATCTGTTATCATCATATCTGAAAAGTATTAATAATTTTTTATCTGAAAAAAAACCCTGAACTATGCTGTGTGGTACCTAATATACAATAAAACATGCAGAAAACATGAAGTAAAAAAATAAAAAAGAAACAGTCAATCAAACCAAGAAGCTGAAGCATTCTTACTACAGAAAAATGGCATCTCTAACAATATATTTATTTCATGTTTCCTATTTTTACTTTCTCCCCCTCACCATCTGCCTCTGTTCTGATTTTTTCTTTCAAAAGCATCCACCTTATTTAGCTTCACTCACCTCATCACAGGATTCAGGCTGAATTAAAACAAAATCCCCAATGCCAAAGCCAAAAAAGCAGTATGTCTTCATAAAAGACCTTCTAAAAATAATTTTCCTTTTCCTTACAGTAGCTGTAGGTCTTTAAGAGAAGCAGTCTATCTTGATTCAGTGCTTTGCTACACACTTTCTAGGCAAGAGAATTGGAGCTTTTTGGCCCCTGGTAACTCTGGGCTGTTCCTGTGCCTTCAGTGTTGCTCTTTTCTCCAGATCTTGCCCTGTTCTTTTGGTAGCCAGCACTGAATCCCACAGGAGTGAGATCCTTTAGTGTGGAGAAGGAAGGTGAATTAGAGAACCTGCAGCAAGAACTACTCCTTCCATCATGGAAGGAGCAATGCCCAGGGGGGTTTGCTGTTCTGTGGAGCAGAGTCCCACTGCTTTGCTTAAGGCACTCTGCATGAAAATAAAACCATTTTGGGGAGACAATCCTCAGAAGGG